TGCTTGATGTTTTTAAGAAGCTTCAAACCTCATTTACATCTGCTAGTGAAATCGACCGACACTAATAACCGTCAAAATCTAAAGGCTATTCCCGTTTCACACACTTCCGGTTATAACAGTTAATATACCTCTAAAGTGTGCATGTCTTAAAGTTCAAATGTTTCTTTATTATTCAGATTTTAATTGGTTTACTGGTTGGCTGGGGTATGTCCGCTTTGATGACGGTTACAGGAATGTTGACAGACGATCCGTCTAAGACAGAGTATCTGGCCAGGACGGACGCACGTGCTGATATTATCACCACAGCCACCTGGTTCAAAGTACCATATCCAAGTGTGTTCTGTTGTAATTTTTGTCAATAAACGTATGAAGTTTTTTTTCAAAAGGACGACGCAGTAGGATTAGTCATGTAAATTTAGATTTAAACACTCAAATTTTGAATTAGAATTCGTTTCTTTTTGTGTTGGATGAGAATCGTCCCATGAACCCGGCTACAGGTGATCTAAACTTTAAGCCGCCATTTATATATGCAGGAAGTTGCTACAGAGTGTGTAAAAACATATACCGGAACAAATTCCGGACCGGATTCACTCTCATTCTGTAGTGTACACATATATATTTTACTTGTGTTGTCATTTTCACCAATATGCACTCTGAGTAGTTGGTAATATAGGTACTTACTAGATTCACGAATAACCTACTGGCAATACAGGAAGCATATGGTACAGCTAACGCATATTCTGTCAGAAGACATGTTTAGCCTTCGCTGTTCTTTAGGTAGTCTGCATGCTTTGGAGGTATTTTTTATCGGATGGGAAACTGACATTTATGCCGGCCATGATTATTGTATTAACTGGATCTATCGTTGTTTTTTAATATGTTATTTATAACATATCAAAACAAAGCAAGCATGAAGTTACAACAAAAACTCTGAGGTCATTATTGTTAAAATGATAAAATTTAAATGTATATGTTATTTACTGTCTTTGTTGATAACATAAACAACTTTTGTGATTCGCAGATCAATTCGGAACGCCAACTTTTGACACTGGGGTGTTCATTGCTTTTCTTATCGGTACACTAACCTCCATTCTCGACTCCATCGGAGATTACTACGCATGTGCGAGAACGTGTAATGTTCATCCGCCGCCTCGCTATGCCGTAAACAGAGGAATCGCAGTGGAAGGTCTTGGCAGTACTTTGTCAGGGATCCTGGGATGTGGACACGCTACAACTACATACGGGGGGAACATCGGAGCTTTAGGCCTTACAAAGGTCAGTACTGACCACTGTGTACCCGGGGAAATATCGGGGCCCTTGGATCCCAAAGATCAGCGTTCACGACTGATTTGTCGGAATGAGATCATCGGTCACAAACTGTTCAGTATCTGCCACACAGGGTCTAAAATGATCATAGGGCTCGAACACTTATTTCTTATTTGCTACGTTTGGTCTGAAATTAGATCATGAGGTTCCTAAAGTTCAGTGTTTTGGGTAAAATGTAGTGTTGGTATTTGCAATGGTTGGTAGATGTCACATATTAGCAAATAATGGAGCTACCAGGACCACAGCAGTAAGAACATTTTTTACATAAAGCTATATAACGAATTTCAGCTTTTAGCTAGTAAAGTAATTGCACAAGCGTCTACGCTAAACACTATAATAAATATAGATTATCTTAAGACTTTGCCTTTTTCAACCTATTTACAGACCAGGTATATTTATTTTTCCTTTTT